TGGAGAAACAGGAAAGACAAAGAGGTCTTGTTGAAGATGGGGGAGCTAGAGAGGTAGAGTCTCATAAAATGAGAGTGTGAAGGAAACCAGGAGAAATGAGATGATAAATTTGAGAGAACCAGCTTGAACGCAGCACAGTGAATTGCTTATATTTTCTTTTATTTGTTCTGTGGGACTGACTCCAAGCTGAGAGAGGCCAGTGAAAGAAACAGGAAATTAGTTGCCCTCTTAATAGCAGCCCTGCATTACTTTCTCCCCCTTTTATTTTCTTCCTCTTTTTCTCGCTCCATTCCCCAGAGAGGTTGGGTCATTGAAAGACAGATCAATAAAAAGATATATTGTCATCTCAGAGAACCACCCTCTTAATCAATTAATCTATAATAGAATCCACTCACTGGAGCTTCTTAAAGGGGCCATCCTCCCCTTACCAACAATGGGTCAAAAAGGTGCAGACATATAGAAGTCTCATTAATAGTAATGGAGGGAGAAACTGGAAAGGTTTCAAATGGTTGGCTATAGATACAGGTGGTACAGGTTTAATGGCATTTCAAGGAAACAATGCTTATGTTTTCACCAGGAACAGGTCAGCCTACAATACCCAGATTTCAAGCACTAGTCCTAATGAGTTATTATCCATGCTCTGCTGCATCATCAGATATAGGGACAAATGCACTGTAGAGGATGCCTACTGCCCAGTGTGCTGTTGATCCTATCTTAATACACTGTTATTTTCTGCTTCAGGGTTTGGAAATGGGGTTGCAGTAGCTATAACCATATAATAAATGTTCCATCATTGTCAGCCATCCAGGGACTGCAGTAGTACTTTAGAGATGAATGTCTACTGTTGAGCGAGCAGTGCTTGAGGTGTAATCAGAGCTCAAGGTTGGTGCAAATAAAAAGCAATATTTTAGGCATTAGCACACATTTTAGGGTGTGACCTTAACAAATGGATTCACAGAAAGCCAATCTTTAACATCAGCAGCTGTGGGTTCACAAATCTGTGGGACTTTTTCTCCATCAGCTTTATCAGTTCTAAATGTAAACATACAAAATTGCCTCTTGAATACTCCCAGCAGTATCAGAGCTGCCATCACTGCTGTTCATACTTGTTAATGGTGATTTATACCTAGGAAGGAAGTATTTGTGGTAAAGGATGTTGGCCATTTTTTTGTGGGCACAACACTATATAATTTTGTAAGGACAAAAGAATCTTTCTCCAGTGAACAAGACAACCATTGATTTTTAAGATCTGCGTTATAGGGAGGTTTGGGCCGAGTAGCTGTCCACAATCCCTCTTTACCCCATGGATTTAAAATTCTGGGAGCCTTACTGATGTGTGTTTAGGATTCTTTAGCACTTTGCCAAACACAACACTGATCGTTTCAGTCACTTCTACATTCTGTTATGAAACTAGGCTCTTCTATTCAGCATAACTTTATTACAGTTAAGAGTGTAGCTTGTGTACTTAGGGTTACACAACTGTCAGCTACAGTATACAGTGATACTACTGTACCTTGGATCACAGTATTGGAAATGTGTTGCTAAAATATATTCAAAACCTATAACAGCAGTAAATTGAGCCTTTTGTATGTGTGTCTGAATGGTCGGTGTTTTCCTTTGGCAGAGAATGGAGACACCTCTAATTATCTACACAACAAATTAATTTTTTAATTCACAAAGGAGTAAAATATGAACAACAGAACAATGTAGTTTTTCTTATACAAACACCTCCAAGGTTATGTAGTATTCCATAGAGTTCAAGAGGTGAGTCACAGCTGAAGGTATCCTTGGTTAGGAAATATTGATGTTTAACAGTTCAAGAATCACAGGGCTACAGGTTTGACTTATGCATGCTGCTAGAGGAAAAAGGATTAGGTAAACAGAAATACACGTTTTCATTAATGAACCTTTTTCCAGACCTATGAACACTTCATGTTTTGAAAGCACATTCTAAGAATGCCTCTATGCTGATCAGACATACTTTTTCCATTAAACACTAAGTGTGATCCCAGTATGCATGAGCAGCATTAGAGGTGGTAAACAACAACATTTCAGTGTAACTACACAAACTGAGGACTGGCTTGTCTTAAATTAATAGCAGTTTTGCAACCACTCAGTTTTTATTTAATTATTTTTGAAGCTGGCATGCAAACTGAGATGTGTGTAGTAAGTCCAACCATTCTGCGCTACTTATTTGATCTCCATGGCAATTGAAGTTTGATTTCTGTGGAAAAGAGTGGCTGTTTGATAGTGCTCTTTCTTTTTATGAAGGCATTTAATCAACTCTAAACAGTGTGGAATAATGAAATTGCTTGTAGTGGCAGTGCAGCCTCTCCCAAAAGAAATAGGCTGTCCAGAGGTCTGGCATGCACACTAGTGTCAATTCACTTCAAGTCATTAGTTTATTTATGAAGGGAAACTCAGTTGCCCAATTACACAAACAACAAGAGTTTTTGCTGAATATGATGATGCATACAGTATTCAGTTCTATGGTAAAGTGTGTCCGAACGTTTGACAGGTAGTCTGTATATTCATATTTGCTCGGCTTGTGTTAAATTTCTGCAGTTTTGGTAAATCTGTGCTAATAAATATTGTTAATAGAAAACAATATTAGAGAATACAGCTTGTTTATAAGATGATAAAGCTTTTGAAATATGCATTTTTCTTCTGTCTTTGTTTTAATAAACACTTGATCTTCCAAATTGAATGACATATAGTAGTTGTGCTGGATTTATCATTTGCAAATTCCAGCATTTTCCTTCAAACATTTATGTATGTATGAAAAATGAGTTCTGAGCTAAAGAAATGAAAACTCCCTGACTACCCAAACCTTTCTGATTAATTGGACTCTATAGATCATAGAGGATGTCTTTTCATAGTGCAGCCAGGAAATGTTTTAATGCTGGCATTTCCCAAAAGCTGACTTTGAAACCCTTTCTAAAACATTCAAGTGAATTGAAAAAATCACCTCATAAAACAAAGCCTTTGTGTGTGGAGAGGGCATAATTCTATGATCTATGGCTCAGCTGCATGTGTGCTGCACAGCACTAAACCACACTGATGGGCTGTCATTGTAATTCAGTACCTAATGTGGATAATTAGTCTAAATTCATGGAGTGCTGGATTCTACTAACAGCCACGCCAAATGTTTGACGAAGGCACCAAAGTAGCAGCATCAGTCACAGGCGAATGGAAACGCATTTAGTGGAGGGCCTCATCATGTTTTATTCAATCACAGAACGATGCTCAATTAATCAGTTTCTGCAATTAAATTAAACATTTACATGCATAAAACATGAAAGAAATATCAGGGGTGTTTAAGCGCCGCTTGGTTCTCAGTGCTCCTGTTAACCCAAAAGGAGAGTATTTATTCTCAGCCCTCTACAACAGGCTCTGTAACTTTAGCAATGTGGAATTATTTCTTTTTCACCTAATGCTGAGAATGGTGTGTAAATCTCACCGTAGTATGCACCGCGTGATGCATACCACCATCCAATGCATTTCTATAAATGTCAAGAGCTGTGTTCACTGGGTCTATCTGACCCCTAATATTTATTCAGCACAACAGCATCCTGCCCAATCATTCCTTATTGTTTCATTGCAAATCCGTGGCTCTTGGTATGTCAAGTCTCATTGGCAGCAGTTAGCCATATCTCCTGGCACATGCAATATTGCTTCTCGCGTTCTGTCAAGTGCAGGCGAAGCCTGTGCTCAGATAAATACTGACATTTTTCAGTGATGTGTGGGGTTTGTTTGTATCTCTTAGTGCCTGAGTAATTTCCATTGCCTGATTTGTATACATAGCACCACAGTCGGCATGATCAAAGGTCTCTCACATGTAGACAAATTTCCATTTGGTTTCATACCACTGCCAACATAATTTAGAGCTCTCTGTTTTGATAACAGCTTTAAGATAAATGTTGTCATTTGCACCACATTAAACAGTGTGACTTCAATAAAAAAGTTGTTTCTAGATGGATTTAATACAAGTACAATCTATAAGAGTATGAAGAACCCTGTCTACCTTCTGATATCACTCATCTCCTGGAAACCTTGCTTGGCTGCAAAATAGGATGATATGTTATGTTGTAAACACTTGGCAATGTTAATATTCACACTGCAAATTATTCAAAAATACCAAATACTCACTTACTATAGTCTTTGATCAAATGATTATTTTGTCTAGTCATCCATGCCTCTGTGGATGATACAAGCTCAACATAAAAATCTTCACAGCATTGTTAATCATCAACATCCATTTACCTCAATAACCCATGAGTCAGGAATGTAAATGATGATCAGTGTCTGAAATTTGAGTTCAAGTAAAATACTGTTGCCTTTACGTTTCTAAGTGCGGTTTTTAAGTGCCTGAGCAGTTTTCATTAGAGAGCACCTTCAGTGGCTCCCGCACCATAAGCCTAAACACAAAGGGCACTGGCCCTTTAAGAGACCGGTGCTGAGACGGTGAAGTGGGACAGGATGAACCAGGCGCACACCGGATGTTCGTTGGGGGCGCCTTCAACATTCTATACGTTTAAGTACGCACACACACACGCACGCATGCATGCATGCATACTGGCAGGTATACTGACATACTGTACTTAGATACTGAACATTTGTCAAAACTGGAACAACGAAGAATGAGCATCCCACAATATAAAACTCCATTTACGGTATGATATTAGGAGATTCATTGGATTAATCAGCTAATATCACTCTGGCCTATTGTGACTTTGAAGGCTATAAAGTGGCACATAAAGGCTATAGAACTTTTCAGATGGATGACATCTAGACTATCTTGTAAATCAGCTTTATTACATCATATACTTTGAGTTTAGTCAAAGCTTGTCGCACAGTAAGGAGATGTGTTAGTGGCTGCCGAGGAAAAACACAACTGCATTTTCATTTTATCAGATATGAGCCTAATTATTTATTTCTTTATTCTGCTCGATACATCAGTCACAAATAGCGCAGTTGTTGGTTGACTGAAGTTTTATTTTGAAATGATACCGGAAGTCTCCGATCCCAACACAGCAGCTTCCCCCGTGTGTTTGGGCTCCGGGACCGCGTTGTTTGCTGATGAACCTGGACTAATTGACTCGTAGTAGCGGAGCAGCCCGGAGCCCAGAGGAGGGGAGCGGCTCTGTGCTGAACAAAGTGGCAGTTCTCCTCTCGGCGCGATGACTTCGTGGACTTTGGGACTAATTCGCTGTCAGGAGGATCCGTTATGAGCATTTCGCACCTGTAATAGTACAGTGAAAACGGGAGAGAGCGGGGCAGAGTGACCGGGGCGCTGCCCACCACCCACACCGCCTCCCCGTCACTCCCGGCGGCTTGCCCTCTGCGGACTGTCCGCGGGATTGGAGAAAAGTTTCTGAGGGATGTTCGAACTCCTTGGTTTATGGTGCAGCGGCTGAGATGCTGCCTGTGGAACTTGGTGCTGTCTGCGGAGATTTCATCCCATAGACTGGAATTCATTTCCGCGTCCGTTTGGATGTGTCAGTGAGCTGCTGCTGGACAGCTTGTCTCACAAACGGCTCCTTCTGAAGACTGATCTACCTATGAAAACCCCCAGTGTATGATGGAGTACCGCCCAAGTGTGGTTGTCCTGCTCCTGCTTGCACTCAGAAGTTTGGCATATGGTAAGCTGTCATCGGCGCTGACCGGCTCTTTTGGGTTATGTTTGCCACATGGTTTCATATCCTAGATCCTAGACGTTTCATATGAGTTGATCACAAACCGGGTCTCAGGCTGCCCAGAGCTCTGACAGGGGTCTCACAGAGAGATTAGAAGAATTTAATTTTTATCATCCGTGTCCTCGTCGTCTTCTCCAGTATCACTTAGAGATGAAACTTGAGATGAAACACATTTAGGAGCCCTATTTGTGCAGAAGTGACCAGTCCTGGATGATGTCATTTAAAAGGCCACTTAAACCAACAGACATCAGAGCAGCCCATATGCAGCTTTACTCTGCATCCCGCCCAGGGGACTTTGGATTCACACCAGCATCTGTTTCCCACACAAAGTGACTTTATTGGGATCCTAGCCTGGTTATTTATCTCTATTATTAAACCCATTAGTTAATAAAGATTTATTTTCCACACAATGCAGTTATGAAGCAGCACCATCAATTTAGTTGCCATTCACTGATGCAGTTGACTGGAAGGGGGCAGGGCAGGGTTAGGAGTTTGATTTCACCCTGTTATCATCAATGCTAAAAAAAAAAAGTATGGTTACATCCTACTATGATATGAGTGGGATTAAAGTTCTCACCAGATGCTGCATGCTAAATGTTAAAGTTGGCTCAGGTCCATCTGATTGCACTCTGGTGTGCAGTGCGATGCACTGAGCAGACAGGAAACATGCACTGATGGTGGATTAAGATGTGTTTAGCACAAAGCTTAGTTTCCTTGGCTTTAGCTTCCACTAAACCCTTAGATGTCCAAGCAGCATTTTGGCCTGACTCTGACTCTGTGTTCAGTTACACGTGCACAGTGCCAGGGATTTTAGTTCCTTTCACACTACACCAATGAAGAGAGACTACCAACAGAGGCATCAGTCACAGCATGATTCTCACTTGTAGTCTGAACCCCCTCAGTGGGATGATGAACACCTGCTTAAAGGCTGGCTGCTGGAGCCACAGATGCCCCATCCATCACAGAGGTGTAACTGGTAAATTGCTACCTGTAGGCTACAGGTTCTTTGTCAACATACCTACAGTATGTCGTTGCGTTCTGCTCCCAACTGAGATGTACAAAAACAATTTTCCGACACAAGCGGGATGTTATAGTTAGTGACAGTGTGGTGTCTTTGGCTTGGCCCCACTGCTGAGACTCCCTTTTACAAGGCTGTACAGTAAACACTGGCTATGAACCCAGAGCATATGAGCTCAGCATCTGTGAAAGTGCTCCTTCAGTGACTCCAGATGCTCCTCTGGGACGTTAAGGCTGGATCAAAACTACTTAGTTTTTGCTTTAGGAAAACACACGTTGACTTTTAACAAAAAGTATGCACTGTTTTTAGCCATTAGACTTTTTTGTTTGTTGAATCTCACATTTAAATGCCCATTCTGTCACTGTCATCCTGAGCTACTTTTAAAGGGCAGATTACAGAGAGAGTAAGCCTCAGATAAGTACAAGTATGGAAATATACAGAATAAACTTTCTATGAAAAGGTGAATCTAAGAAGGATCCTAGCTACCCATCTGCCTTTTCACTTTCCCAGCTGAAGGCTCCCTTTCTGCGGAGCCGGAGTCGTGTTTCAGACTGTTTGGCCAGTAAGGTGACACTGGAGTCTGCTCTGTTACTGTCGGTCATTTCTGTCACCATCCGTCAACACAGTGGCCCCCAGCAGCTCTCTCCAGTGATCAGCAACAGACCATGTGCTTGCCTTGCTCTTTATTAAAGTGACTGGAGGGCACCGCTCCAAAAGAGCTGCTTTGTTGTCTCAAGAGTGTCCCCAAACAGAGCAGTAACCAGCTCAAACGGCCTGCACCAAACCTTGATACTCACACTGTAATTACAGTCGGAGCATGTAGCTCCATTTCCTTCAGGTAGGGAAGTGTTGAGGATTGTAATGTGGCTGAACTAGGGGTTAGGGTTAGGGTTAGGGTTACCAAGGCATGTCAAAGTCCTTTCTGTGGTTATGGCGGTTCTGGGTTTTCCCATGAGGCATTGCTGTCGTCTGCAGTGACTTTTAGTGTGGAGAGGGCCAGGGCCATTGTCAGTGGATTGATGAAGGAGGAGTCTGACAGGAATCAGAGTTGTTGCTGTTAAATGTGGGATGCAAATCTCACACTGTTTATCCTAAAAATGGAGAATTAGCCAGTTAAAGGGTCAGTTCACCCAAAAACACAGCAAAACATCAAAAAACAAAACAGGTTTTCTTTCAGATTCGTAGCAGTAAGATCTCTGCTTTCATCCCAGTTTGGAGTTGAATGGAATTTCATTTATCATGGTTATATCACTAAAACATGAGCATTTAGAAAAATGAAAGCTGCATTTCTTTCCAAAAACAAGTCATTGTTACTCTGGATGATCACTGGGCCCTGCTGCCACCAGGTTGACTGGGAACACTGTAGAAAGCAAAAACTATTGACAGGACGTTCTGTAGAACAAGGCTGCAACTAATGATTGTTTTCAGTGGAGATGAATCTGCCTGTTAATTCCCTTCATTAACCAGTTTGTAGGTTTGTTTATAAAATACCACAAAGAATCTTCAGATAGTGTTTATCTGACCAGCAGTCCAAATCCCAGAGCTTTAATGTTGCTGTAAGTCCTCCCATTTGATAATTACCTGGAACTAGGTCATGTTTAGCATTTTTGCTAGAAATATTACTTAAAGGTTAATTAATTTTCAAGAAACCTGCTGATTAATTTAGATGGTGACAGATTTCTCAAAACTGGACATATTAAACCAAAACTAAGGATGAACTGGCCCTTTGGTGTCGATATCCTGTTTTGCATATTTACCACACTACTGAAACACTGTTGAACTTCCTGCTCAGGTCATCAGTAATTATCCACACTACAAAAGGTTAACCCAGATCTAGCTGGTTATCTGTCTCCATCTTACAGCCATCGCCACGTTGTCGATGTGATGATGACTCATAAGAGCAGGCGACATACAGTAGCTCAGGTTTTTGCTGTTAGCATACTGACAGCGCAGCTCCTTTTTTCTGCAGAGACGAGAAGCAGACAGAGCTTTGTAGTCAGTTCTGAGAACAAACACGCACTCACGCTGAGTGTACCTTTCTCCTCCCCCTCCTGCCTCCCCATCGGGTCTTTACAGATCAATTAGACTGTCAATAACACAGCAATCTTTGGTTTGATGCATGGAAATGAGCCATATCTCTTGAAAATCATTATGATGCAAGCAAATTTACACTGGCTGAAAACCACTCAAAAAGCAGGGCAAGGCTGTAAACATCCTCTTCCTGTCATCACAGAATCAGCACCGGTAATCACCAGCTGAAACCGCATCAGAAATGTGGGAGCTAAGTTGAAATTCTGTATGCTTGTCCCTGAACAGCCACTCATTATGTGCACCCATGATAATGGAGTTTCACAACAGCTTGGCACCACCTCCTGATGCGTTATTAACAAGTTATGTGTGCATTTGAGTGGAGTAAAAAAAAAAAACCACGCATCACTTTCTCTCTGCAAAAGTAACCACAGGCTGTTTCCACAATATGGAGCTATCTGCAATCCAAGGCCTGCACTGCCCCTCTTAATGATAATGCCTAACATCCCCACACATTCCTGCCTCTGAGGGGCAAAATAAACCCAGGATGGGGCACTGCCCACTTCTCCACCAAAGTAAAGGGACTAAACTGAGCAGAATCTCTGTTAGGCAGGGGGTGCTGACAGGACAAGCCAGCTATCCCCTCTCATTAAAGGTCTTAAGTGCGCCCCCCCCTCCAGGATATCGCCTCCCCCCCACCTCGGGCTGTAGACAGATGGATGGCTCCCAACATTAGTTCCAGTTGTTTAAGGAGGGCTGGCCTCTCCAGTGCTGGACGTAATACTGAAATAGACGTGGTGTGAGGTGAACCATGTAATGAAGTGCCAGTCAGAGCGCACGGGACAGTGTTGCCCTGCAGAGGCTATTTTTGTGCTGCATACACAGTGTGGGAAAATACAACTTGTAATCAGACAATGCAGGTGGTATAGGTGTTGCATATCAAAATTATAATCACTTCATTCTACAAAAATACTCCATGCTATCACTGGTGAACAATTAAAGTGATATGCATAAATGCACATGCTGTGTCAGAGCGTCCCCACTGAACATCGGCTGCATCAGTCTGCCAGCTCCTCCAGAGAGGCGTCTTCCTTTCCTGTGTTCCTCTTTACCCAAAGAAAAAAGGACCCATCCATAATGCCTTTGACATCAGAGTGGCGTTTTGTCTATGTGTGTGTAAGAGAGAGATGTGGCATAAATGTACTCTGTGTGTGTGTGTATCATGATACATATAATATCACTCAAGGGAGCTGATCTTCGTACATCATTTACAATACTTATGTCATCATTATTATTGTATCATATATTCAGTTTATACAGGGATGGATTTGGATTTGATGCAGCTAATAACTAAATGTTTCACCTCAACTGGACCAAAATACATGAACAGAGGTTTATTAAAGTCTATAATTCATCACAGTCATTAAATAGTAAGTCTCCACGCAGGAAGTCCCAGATGTTTCACCAGATGTGTTGCCACACAAGAGCTGTTGTACAGTTTAAACACAATCTATAAGTCATTGCAGCCTTACAAAGCATAAATGGGTTGCTCAGTTAATACAGGTACAGCATGAGAATAAAAAGAACTGTTTGGTCTCCTGCTATCGTTATGGTACTGTTATAATTGTTGTTACTGTGTTGTTCTCAGGGGAAATGCAGGAACTCAGATGCATATTTGCTGCCAGGGCAACTGACCATACACAAGTGGAATATTCTGATGATTCTCCAGCAGTGTTCCGTTGTTTTTTTTTCACCTGTCCTTTTAGGTCTTCTGTGTCAGCATCCATCTAACAAGAGCATATGTTTCATGTTTACCCAGTCTTTACTGGCCACAGATGTTTCAGAATGCAGCTTGAAGGACAGCAAAACACTGCTGCACACTCAAATGGAAGGTGCACAG